GCACAGACGCGATTTGGGTTCGAGCTTGTGAACCCCGGGCTCTTGGCGAAGAACCCAGACGTCGGCGCCAAACTCTCGGAGGTGGGACACGTCAGGCTTCCGACCCCAGAACACCTCGAAAGGTGTTTTTCGCTGCTGCATGAGCGCGCGAGCAGGTGCCCGGTTTTTGATGTACATGGCGTATGAAACAGCCTCGGGCCACAGGAACATAGGGAGCTTGCGCGCGAAAAGCATGGCTCGGGCGGCTTCGATGAGCGTTCGATTCAGGCGTTCCGCTATCCCGTTTTGGAAAGAGGAGTACGGCGCGGTGAGTTCGAGAATCATGCCGTGAGAGTCGATGAAGTCCTTGACGCTCCGGTTAACGTATTCCCGGCCGTTGTCAATGCGGAGCGTCTTCATGTCGACGCCTTTCTGGTTCTTAAGAAAAGCGTGGTACGCTTTCAGAGAAGCGAGGGTCTGCTTCTTGTCTGGGACAAAGAAGAGCACGGAGTACCGAGAGTGACCGTCCGTGAACGTGGTGAAATAGAATATTCCGCGTATGCCCTTAATGCGGCAAGGTCCCCAGTTATCGGAGACAGTCAGATCCCCGATGTTCTCGATCACAGTATGCGATTCTTTCGGTGCAGGGGTGACGTGGTGCTTAGCTTGGATACATGCGTCGCATTGGTCGGGAGGTGGGGAGGTAAGGTCGACGGCCAGGCCAGTAACCATCTGGTGCCGGACGAGCATCTCCAAGTATCCGGTGCTCAGGTGAGCGTATACACGGTGTGCTTGGTCCCAAGTAATAGGCTCGGTGGCCGACAACGTGCGGTCAGCCTCGGTTACTAAGTCCAAGCGGTACAATCGGCCCGACTTGCTGCCTGTGGCAACCGTGTTCCCGTTGCGATCGGTGATCGTGACGGAAGAGTTCTCGAAGTTGATCCGAGCTCCTTTTTCGGTAAGTCGGGACACTGAGACAAGATTGTGGCTAGCAGCGGGGACGTGCGCGACATTGGTGAGGGTTATGTGGTCGCGTGCGCTCGAGGTCGTAAGCGGTCTGAGGGGAATGTTCCCTTGGCCCAGCTTGGGCACACTGTGGCCGCCAACGCCCTGGATGGTTGCTCCGGGAGTACGAGTGTACGTGAAAAAATCGTGCCCATCTCGCCCGACGTGCGTGGTAGCTCCGCTGTCGAGGTACCAATGCAGGTCATCGACTGATTGGAGCACGGTAGTGTCGTGGGTGGCAACCCAGACTGTGCCGGAGGGCTCGGACGTGCCAAGATCGTCGGGATCCTCGTCATCCGCCAAATTAGCTCGATTGCCGTTGCGACTGGAGTTCCGGGGATCGAAGCGTTCTCGACCGAAGTTTCGATCGCGATCGCGCTCATCTTGATTGCCTCCGTGGTCCCTCCGTGGTAACCGGCACTCGGCCTGGACATGGCCACGTTTGTTGCAATTAAAGCAGGTGAGTCGCAGCCTATTGGCTCGAGCTTGGAGGGCAGTGTCGGTGTCGTCGCGAGAGGCATCCTGACGACATTCTTGCAGTATGCGCACGATTAGGGTAGCCGAAGAGATTTTCGGTTCGGAGCCTTCGGCGGCTGCCAGATCTTGATCGTCTATTGATCGGATGAACGGGCGCCAAGAGTCCGGCAAGGACATGAGGACTGCCGTAGAGAAGTCCTCCTCGGTCATAGATCCTCCTAGTGTATTGAGTTCAGAGCGGTAACCTCGGAGCGTCCTGAGGTGTGTCTCGATGTCCCCGCCTTCGGGGCACTGCGTATGAAATAGCTTTCGGCGCGCCATGACGCGTCCGATCGACCCGGAAGACTGGAACTCGCTTCGCAGTGCTTCCCATGCCCCTTTGGAGGTCTCGGCGTCTTGTACGACGTTAATAACTTCTGACGTCACCCGCACTCGGATCATCCGGAGTGCCTTGCGGTCCTTCTTCCGCCACGCTGGTCTCTGGGCGTCGTCTTGAGGCAGTGTCAAGGCACCGCTGACGTAGTCCCATAGCTCGGCTTCCTCCAAGATGTCGGACATCTGGATACGCCAAGTGGCGTAGTTCGTCTCGCCACGAAGCGGTTGGATACGATAAGTTTCGTCGGCCATTGTGTTGGTCCAGACGGTTCACAGCAGTGTGGGTAAAGTTCGAAAAATAAAGTTGAGTTAAAAATAGCGAACGGGCTTCTGAGCTATGCAGGGCTCATAACCTGTAGAGAAGTGATAAGAAGAGGAACGTGGGATGATGAAGCAAGGCTTCTGATCCCACGCTTATATATTAAGCTGGGTGTACAATAGGAGTCGTAGTTACTAATATACAATTGATACAAGCCCGTATCCGCGCGGAAGCTGTTCCTCCCGGCGGCGGAAGAGCGTCTCATCGCTCCGCAACAACAGCCTGTGCCTGTGCAACGCCCAGTGTCGCCGCCACCTCCACCGGTCAGATCTCGTGCGCCTTCACCGCGCCGATCTGGGAGAGAGCGGAAAGTACCAACTCGCGAGGGAAATGTCTATGGTGAATCACGGCACCCTACAGACATTTTTAAGGAGATAGAAAAACAAACATTGTGGAGGAACTTGGTGGAACAGCGCGGAGAATCGAGTCGCTCTCGACCTGCGTCAGTTCCAAGTCCTCGGAATGAGTCACAGGTTCCCGGACCTAGCTCTTCCAAATCTAATCCACGATCACAACCGCGTTCGCGCGATG